GTGTGAAAGTTTTCAGTTTTTGACCATTTAGTATGATGTTGGCTGTTGGTTTTTCATAGATAGCCTTAATCAGGTTGAGATAAAGACCTTCTGTTCCAATTTTCTGTAGTGTTTTTACCACACTTTTCACCTCTTTCTTTTTGAGACAGGGTCTCACTATGCAGTTCGGGCTGGCCTTGAACTCATAGTGATCCTCCTGCCTCAGCCTCCTGAATCCTGAGATCACAGGTGTGCACCATCATGTCCAGCTTCATCTGTTCCCTGAAACTTTCTCCATCCAGTAGGGGGATCAAACCTAGGGAGCTCAGAGTGAATCCCCAGCTCTGTTTTTCTTTTCTTTTCTTTCTTTTTTTTCAGACCCCCCCAAGATCTTTCTTTTGATGCTGGTGATTGGACTTGGTTTTCACTGGAGCTGGAGGTTGTTGGGCTTTTGTTCCAGTGACGGGAAACCTGAGGAACACAGAGTCCATGTTGGAACTGCACATCCTGTGTCACAGGCAACAAAACCTTCGGGCCCTGCTGCTGTGGTGCAGGCCTGCATCGTGCTCTCTGGATGGAGGCAGAGGTGATGCTGTGAGGAAGCGCTGGCAGCAGGGTTTCTTGTGCTCCAGCCGCACCCAGCAGGCCCAGAATCTTGATGAGAGAAAAACAGTGAGAGCTGCCCTTGCTCCGAGGATGGCTGTGCTCAGGGAAGATGTGCATCCCCTTCCACACCTGTAGCCAGGGTTTCCATGTCTCCGAGCCATGTCTCCAAGAGGAGCAGAATGAGTTAAGGCCTTTGCCTACATGTGGTTTCCCTCCCTTCTGAAGTTTTTAATCTTTTTTGATGAAACTGGAACATCTGAAGGCTCACTGGGGACTGAGGGGCAGATGCACTTCCCGGGTGGCAGCAAGGCAGAAGGAGACAGGAAGGACAGGAGGACAGCTGCGCTGGCAGGGGAAGATGGGCCACAGCAGCAGGGCCTACCTTGGCCCTGGCCCACCCCAGTGTAAAGTGGGTGTCATGACCACAGGCCCCCTGGACTGTCTTCCCCCTTCCTTTGTCCTCAGGTCTGGAAGGTGTGCCAGGGTCACTTGAGGGCAAAGTGGCAGTGATGACTAAGAGGGCCGGCCTGTTGCTCAGCTTTCTGTGGTTGTGACGAAGTACCTACGAAGGTCACTGCAAAGAGAGGGCCACTTTGGCTCCTGTTCCTCATCAGCTGGACCATTGCTGTGGCCTCTGGAGAGGCAGGGTGTCATGGCAGCAGGAAGGGAACAGGAAAGAGGGAGAGGGGGAGAGAGTTCGGGATCAGCTGTAGTTCCCAAGACCAGATTCTGCGGCCCAGGCCCTTCACCCGGGCCCCACCCCTTCTGTCACCTGCCCACAGTGCTGCCAGACACGGTCTCCTCTGTGGATTCAGCACCCTGACTGACGACAGGGTCAGAACCTTGTGACATTGTCACCTCCCCAAAGGCCCTCAGCATCCAGGCCTGGTGCCCTGCGCCCTTGGGGACGATTCCGGTCCCAGCCAGGAAAGACACAGAGACCCCTCCCTGGGCCCCACCCAAGCCTGCACAAGTCCTTGATGGGCTGTGGAAGACACTTTCCTTGGAGAGGTCTCTGGCCATGCCGGGGCCCAGTGAGGGGAGCTGTAGAGGAGGGAGGGGTAAGCCTTGCTTTTTAATATCCCCTCCCAAGAATTATGAGGTCCCACGAGAACTGCACTCCCAGCAGCTCCCCTCTTGCCTGTTCTGGGAGCCAAGCTGCACACACAGCTGCATCCAGACTGCACCTGGCTGTGTATTCCAGGCACCAATGATCTGCTGATTCCCCAGACAACAGTAGAGTGGAAAAAAAAAAGGGGAGATCCCGGAATTCATGGTCACAATGGCCTCCATTTATACTGGAAGTTAAAATTATCTTACAATTTACATACAGTTGAATTCACTCTTGATAAATGGCCATTTTAAATCTTTTTTTTCTGGTACCGGGATCAAACTCGGGGACCTTGCACTTGTGAGGCAGGCGGCGGCACCACTGAGCTAAATCCTCCGCCCTGGCCATTTTAAATCTTGACAAGGCACATCTCTGTGTGACCTCCACCCTTCAAGACACAGCACTGTGGTTGCCCCTGAGGCCTTCCCCGTGCTACACACAGACACACTGCAACCTCAGCCAGTTTCCAGCTCCGTCATTTACCTTCTCGGAAAGTCATCACATGGAATCATTCAGTGTGGATCTTTCAGGCTTGGCTTCTTTCACTGAACATAATGTACGTAAGAATACTGAAGTTGCTGTGTTTCACAGTGGTTCATTCCTTTTTCCTGTCAAGCAATATTCCATTTTATGGATATACTACAGTCTGTTTGTCCATTCACCTACTGAAGGACTTTAAGGTCGTTTCCAGTTTGGGGCCATATTGGAGATTTTAAGATACCTCTTTCAGAGCCAGGCATGATCATGCACACTTGTCATTTTAGCACTCTGGAAGGCTGAGGAAAGAGGGTCGCAAGCTCTCTTGAGCTCGGCCTGGCAACTCAGCAATTTAGTGAGACCCTGTCCAAAATAAAGAAAAAAATTTTTTTGAGACAGGGCCTTGCTATGTAGTTCAGGCTGGCCTTGAACTCATGGTGATCCTCCTGCCTCAACCTCTTGAGTGCTAGGATCAGAGGTGTGCAACACTACATCTGGCCAAAATAAATTTTTTAAAAAAGTGTTGAGGATGTAGCTCGTTGTGAAGGCCCTGGGCTCAATCCCCAGTAATGAAAAAAAAAAATTCTGGGGATGAAGCTCAAGGCCTTGAGTTCCATTCACACACAGAAATCTTTTTTTTATGTACCAAAACATCTATTGGTACATTTTAGGCATAATGATAACACTCATCATAGGAAATTTGCACCTCTACATGGTACATCCCACCTCTCTCTCTCTTTTTTTTTTTTGGTGCCAGGGACCGAACTGAGATCCTTCTGCTTGCGCAGCAGGCGGCAAAACCACTGAGCCAAATCCCCGGCCCTATCCCACCTCTTTTTTACCATTCCCCCTCCCCTAAAGCCCCCTCCCCTTCCTAGGTACAAAAGCTTTGTTTCCGTTTTTTCCTTCTATTTTCAGTTTTTTCCTTCTCCCTTCCTTCCTTTCTCCCTCTGTCCTCCCTTGTTCTCCTTCGCATTTGAACATTTTCTTCCTGTTTCCCAATATCCATTATACATTTTGGTCCTTATTTCCACTTTCAGTTTCTCACACCAGAGTAACAAAGTGGTATTTAAACATGTGTATCCATTCAATCCCCAGTACCAAAAACAACACAACAAACCCCAGAACCATGTGTATCTGATTTATTTCACTAAGGAGTATGGTCTCAACGGGGATCCATTTAGCTAGAAATGTCTCAAGCTCATCCTTCTTTATGGCAAAATAGTACTTCACTGTATAAAAAACCTCACACCTTCTTTATCCATTCATCAGTTGATGGACACCTGGGCTGTTTCCAAGATTTAGCTGTTACAAACTGTACCTCTGTAAACATGGATGCAATGCTGGGGATGTAGCTCAGTGGCACCACACCTGCCTGGCAAGTGCAAGGTCCCGAGTTTGATCCCCAGTACCAAAAACAAAACAAAACAAAAAAGTGCACCCAGAAATCTTGAGTGAAATGAAAACAAAACAAAACAAATTGAAACTTGTGAGAGAGTAAAGCAGTTTTCAAAAGGTGAATTTATAGCTCAAATGCAGAGTAGGAAAGAAGACCGAAAACCACTTAGCCCACCTTCCAACGTCACCAGGAAGGAGGAAAAGAAGGAGGAAAAGGCCAAAGTAGAAATACAGATATAGCACAACCAAGTGGAGATAATGAAATCGAAGGCCCAGATAGAAAATTCAACAAAGTCAGTTGTTTTTTTTGGCCCTGGAGATCAAATTTGTGACCTTGTTCTTTCGAGGCAGGCGTAGGAACCACTGAGCTAAACCCCCGGCCCCAAAGTCCGTTGTTTTTAAAAATATTATAAAATTAGCCAGGTGTGGTGGCACACACCTGTAATCCCAACACTCAGGAGGCTGAGGCAGGAGGATCACCATGATTTCCAGACCAAACTAGGCTACACAATGAGACACTGTCTTAAAATATATATATATATATATATATGTATAAATTGACATAATCCTAACAAGACTGATGAAGAAAGAGCAAAAAACAAAGATGGACAATAGCAGAAGAAAAGTGGTCACCACAGACCTTACAAATGCCCGAGTAACACAGGGTGCCATGAACAACTTGCCAGTGAGCCTGAAAATTTAGACAGAATGAAGTCTGAAAAACTGGGTTGGCAACGGCGACCTGAGAAGAAATGGAGGATTCACAGGCTCCGCCCCTAGCAGAGAAAGGGATCTGTGTTGGGCCTTCCCCAGGGCACGGCCGCCACTGCACAGGCTTTCCCTTGCCCGGAGCAGCCGACTCTTCCTGAAAGCCTACGAGTCTGCACGATGTACAGATCTAGATGAACAGAGCAGCTGGTGAGGAGGGCCGGTGGGCACTGCAGAGACAGCGCTGGGAGCACGGTCTGGGCTGAAGCTGGGCGGGCTCTGTCGTTGGCATCACCACTGGCATTATTGTACGTGGCGCTGGGCCTCGTGCATGCTAGGCAGTTGCTCTAGCATCCAGCCACACTCCTGGCCCTAGCCTCTATTAATATAAACGTTTGAGATTTCCCATTAGAAAATATTTTCATCAAAAGAAAAGTCAGACCATAACATTACTTGCTGCAAAACCCTGCCCTGCTGCACAGTTGCTCTGGGCAGCGCCTGGCCTGTCCCCCTCCTGGCACCAATCTGTCCCTGTGACTCCTCTCTGCACCCCACCCCAGGGCCTTTGCACCTACAGCACAGAGTGCAGTGCCCCAAGCACTGGTTCTTCAGCGCTCTGGAATCCTCTGTGTGCACATATCCCCTTCACAGTAAGGACTTCCCAGGGCGCCCAAACACCGCAGGCCATGGTGCACCCCGGGGCCCCTCTCTCCTGTTCTCCTGGGGCGGCTTTCTGTGTCAGTTGGCTGCGTCTTCCCGAAAAGCTGCAGCGGGGCAGGGCGCACAGCTGCATCCCCTTCCAGCCCTGCACCTGGCACACAGCAGGCAGTGTGAATGCTGGGAGGCCTGGCCTCTCTACGCTGCTGGGGACTCCCCATTTTCCACGCAGAGCCCCCCGACCTGCCCCAACACGGGCTTTCTCCTTGCTCAGGCGCCTCCGCAGAGGCCCGAAACCCCCTGCAGGGCGCGGGGAGACGCAGGCCACGGACCTCAAGGTGACTTTGGACCCCAGCCTGCGCCGGGTCCGGGTCGCGAGGACCCCACCCTCGGCCCTCTGCTGTGGCGCAGGGGACCTGACAAGGGGTGCGGGGCCGTGGCGCCTCCTCCTCTGGGCTGTTCCTGCCTTGGCACCCTCTTCCCGCGCCCCACACCCCAAGCTACGCGCCCCGCACCCCGATCCCGGCGGCGGCGCGGAGAAGCCGCTCGGCCAGGCGGGGGCGGCGCGGGGCGGCGCGGGGCGGGCGGCGCGGAGCCGAGCAGAGCCGAGCATGAGCCGCCGGCGGCGCGCGTGGCGGGGTCCGGCTCGGCAAGGGCGGCGGGGGCGCGGCGCGGGCTGGGACCGAGGTAGGCGCAGGGTGCGGGGTCGAATGGCCCGGGGGGGTGGTAGGGACTGGGTGGGGGCACCGGGCGTGAGGGGCGTGGGATGCGGGGAGCTGGGTGCAGGGGACGGGCTGCAGGGCGCAGGGTCCAGGGCGCGCGTGGCAGGGTCCGGGGTCCTGAGTCCGGGGCCTGGGGCGCGAGCGCCCATGGAAGTTTCCGTCCCCACCGGCCGGGTCCAGCGCTGCTGGTGTTGAGGACCCGGGCCCGCGCCGGCCAGGGCTGTGCAGGTGCAGCGGGCACCGAGTTTGTGGGGTGTGGGGTGCGGGGTCCCCGCCCCTGTGTCTCCAGCCTCGATCCCTGCTCAGGGCAGTGATTCCCTCCCTCTCCCTCAAAGTGGATACGAGAAGGGCCCGGTGGCCGTGTCTCCAGGCGGTGCTCCCCACGAGGTGTCCCCCCAGCAGTTGCCCCAGACCCTCTGGCTACTTCTGTCCCCGCCCGCCCCCCCGACCCTGGACCATCGCTGGGTTTGGGTCCAAGCAAAGCAGCAGCCCCTCGGTCCTGGCAGCCAGTCCTGACTGTCAGCCTACAGGCCCCAGACTCGGTTTCCCCATCAGCGCCGCGGCACTGGTGGTTCTGTTGCCTCCCGAGGGCGTTTCCACGGTGACACCCGCGACACTGTTGGGGCACCTCCGGACTCTAGCCCAGGAGGAAGAGCTCAGAATGGGAGGACGTGGGCCTTTCGGGTCTGGGAACGTGGGTGGAACCTCGGATCTTGCGGCCTGGTGGGACCGGGGTCCTGCCTGAGCAGAGAGGGTAGGCTGTGGGTGGCGTGGAAGCTTGTTCGGGTGCACAGGTGAGGGGATATCCCCAGGTGGTCCCCGCCCCGAGAGCCAGCAGCTAGCTTGTTTTTCTCTGGGAGGCATCTTGGAGCTGCTTGCCTCATGGCTCCAGTCCACCTGGCAGTTGTGGAAACGGAGCAAAGCCACTCACACAGCAAAGGATTTTGGTGTAGCTTAGCAACTGCAGGGGAGGAGGATGGGGAGGAGGAGGAAGACGAAGAGGAGAGGAGGAGGAGAGAG